ACGCCCAGCTCACAGTGGGCACTCGATGACGGACACTCCCCTCCCTCCCTTCTTCCATAAGGCTCTGCCAAGTTTCTGGACCCCAAATCTCTGGGTCTTCCCCTTACACGAGGGAAGAAACCACACAGAATCAAATGTGCATGAGTGGATGGTACGAAAGGAGTCCCCTCACCAGGTTGGGTGGATGATGACATGGTGGCTCTATGGAATGTTCTACAGCCATTCAAACAAAAAAAGGGCACCTTCCCCAAGGGTCTTCCCTTACCACACTCCCTGTCACCCTCCCTTTCAAATTTATTTATAGCACTTACTACCTTCTAACATGTTAGATATTTTACTTTTTCATTATATGTATCATCTGTCTTCACCTTCTAGACTGTCAGCGGCATGAGGGCAGGGGGTTAAATTGGTTCTATTCAACGTAGATTTCCCAGCACTTGGAATAACTACTAATGCAGAATCAGTGTTCAATAACCATTGATTGAATAATAATCATGAAGGGATGAATAATGAAGATTATAATGAAACCCGAGAAAAATGATTATAAAATACAACCTTAAGTGAAGAAAGCAGAACACAAAATATGTGCACCAGGATTCTAACCACATATTTAGTGAATGAATACTGAATCCACTGATGTCCTGCTAGATGCTGGGGATAGAAAGTGGAGTAAGATGAGTTTCTTATTTTAAGCGGGTTCGTGGTCTACAGAGAGGACAGGACTTTAAAACTACGCAGAAAGATTTATGAAGTACTGTAGGATCTGTGAAATGGGAACGCTAAGAACGATAGCTCTCATTCAGCGAGGCTCACTGTGGGCCAGGTTCTGTGCTAATCTCTGTATGGACATAATCTCAGGGACTCTTCTCAGTAGCTCCATGAGGCAGGTGTTAGACTTACCCCACTTCAGGGTGAAGAAGCCAAGACACAGAGAAATCAAGGAACTAATGTGTTTAGAGTCTCACGGCCAACTGGGGCAGAGATGTAGTCAGAAGCCAGGTGTGCCTGTGTCCAGAGCCCATGTGCTTGAGCACTGTGCCGCATCTTCCAGGTAATACACACAGAGAGCTGAAACTCAAGCACTGCACGAACGTAAGTGGGATTGGTCAGAAAACAAAAGAAAATGTTGGAAGGAAAGGAGGACTGAACTCTGATGTTTTCTTTGCCTAAAAATTCTTTTCGAAGGGGGCCTAGTGAGTCACGCCTACAAATGATAAAATCTCAGTAAAGAGGTTTTCATGATGTGGTTTACTTCCCACCCTGATTCTGGAATAGCATCACATAAAAGATAGAAGACCGTCATCTTAACTCAAGCATTCCTTTCCGTTGATTCCTGGTCTTTTGGATAAAGCCTAATACTTTCAGCCAATTGTCAACTAAAGAATCCCTAAATCCACCTATGACTTGTAAGCCCCCGCTTCGAGTTGTCCTGCCTTAATCCCTAAACCCACCTATTTTCTCAAGCTGTAAGCCCCTGCTTTGAGATGTCCCACCTTTTCAGACCAAACCAATGTACCAAACCCTGGTTGGTTTCAGACCAAACACCTTCCATGTGTTGATTTATGACTTTACCTGTAAATCCCTGTCTCCCCGAAATGTAGAAAACCAAACTGTAACCCAACTACAGCGAATTTACTTGCTCAAGGCTTCTTGGACATGACTCTGGGTCATGGTCCTCAAATTTGGCTCAGAATAAACCTCTTTAAATTATTCTACAGAATTTGGCTTCTGTTCCATTGACAGAAATATGCTAAAATATCTAATGGGAGGTTTTTGTAGAATAGCCTTGAGTGTGTACATGTACTTTTCTGAACTTTTCAAATTCATATGGTTATGTATTTCTTTTTTTCAAAAATAACATGGCTAATATCACCTAGAATTTAAAGTTTTCATTAAATAATTAATTTAAAGAAAAAAAATGGTTCTCACTGCATTTCCTGTTCCACTCTGACAAAACCTTCATCTTGTAATACATTCAGCAAGATCTTTCCTCAGCTCACTGAACTTTTATTATGCTCAGAAATGTCCCCCCATCTTTGCTGACTTAAGCATTGTTTTGTTTTTGCTGTGCCCTGAATGGGTCAAAGTCCATATTAAAATGTAAAGGTTTTGCAACCTTTGTTGATGGAAGCCTAGCAAGAATTCCCAAGCAATCCATCAAACAAAAATACCACTTTAGCTTTGTGGAAGCTGTTTCTGAAAGATCTTTATTTAAAACAATGGTGGGAACTCATATAGACACCTGCTTTCTATGTTTAATTCCTTGTCTCATTTCTTCTTCCTTTGTCTACCTCCTTTTCTACTTTTTCAAATTCAGTTGTTCTCAGCTCAAATGTCACCACCTCAGTAAACCCCAGTCAGTCAAGGGTAGAAATCGAACTCAAAGGAGCTTAAGAGAAAAGAAAAGAAAGAGAAAGAAAGAGAGGAAGGAAGGAAGGATGGAATGGAGGGAGGGAGGGAAAGAAAGAAAGATAGATTGGGATTTATTGGCTTCCATAGCTGGGAGCCCATTAGGTAGATGTAGCTTCAGGATTGGCTGAGCTCAGCCCCAAAATGATGTCATCTGAACTTTCTCTCTCTCGCATCTTTCAGCTTAGTTTCACTTCTGCACACTGGCAAAAGGGCGGCTCTGGCAGAGAAGCTACTTCTCTTCCCCAGTGTTTACATATAAATTCAGGGTAAGATTCTGTTTGGGCCAGCTTGGGTCATGTACCCATGACTGTGCCAGGCATGAAACGATAAAGTCCCGTGATTGACAATCTGACAAGATCAAATGCAGTGAGGGAGGGGAATTCCCCCAAAAAATCTGGGATGCTGGAAAGGCAAAAACTACACATAACGGAATTTTTGAAGAAAAAAAAATCCCTAGTTCTCAGCTGTCTGTATATCTACACCTCTTTGCAATGTGCTTGGCACCTCATCCCATCAAGAGGTAAAGTCTATTTCTCCTTGAATAGGGGCCAGCCTTGTGACTGACTTTGACCATTAGGATGCCTGAGAAGTGAAGGTGTGCCAGCTCCAAGCTGTGGCCTCAAGAGGCCTTGGGCACATCTACTCTGTCTCTGCTCTGCCTGCGCCATATGCACACGCCCAGGTGGCTGCCGGCCCAGTCGTCCCAGCGGAGGCCCCAGACATGTGCGTGCAAGAGCCCCCCCCAGATCAGCAAAGCTGCTGACAGCCCACAGCTGACCACCGACACGTGAGTAAGCTCTGCACAGTCCAGCTCAGGTCAGCAGAAGTGCCTAGCCAACCCACAGACTCGGGAACAGAAACAGATGTTTATTGTTGCCTACTCTCAAGCTTTTGTGGTTGTGATGTAGCATTATTGCGGCAACAGATACCTGATACATTTGTATCTACTAAACCTCCCTTTCATGGCCATTCTGCAGGTAACCTAGGCAATCCCTTCTCCCTGCTCTCATAGCTCTTAGTAACACAGTTGCCGTCCCCAATCCCCAGGCCATGGCCTGTTTAGGAACCTGGCTGTGCATCACAGCCTGAGCTCCGCCTCCCCACCCTCTGCGTGGAAAAATTGTCTTCCATGAAAACAGTACCTGGTGCCAAAAAGGTTGGGGACCACTGTTACACCATATTCTACATTCTACCATTGCAAGTTTTATATTGAATTATCATTTATTTCAAATACTTATTTACAAGTCTATTACATATTCCAAGGAACATGTCTGTTTCTTGCCCATAAGCTTTTTGACAGGAGAAACACTTTTTGTTTTGTTTTTTAATCCTGTTGAGTCCAGCACTTGCCACGGCGTATGGTAAAAAGCAGAAGCTGGTTAAACCTTCCTGGGAATTCTGAGAGTGAGCAGTGCCACCCCCAACATCTGTGAAATATGCTCAGATTTGGGAAGTTTTTTTTTTCATATTTAGACCATGAGTGCACCTGGCGTTGAGTTTTGTGTATTGTGTGAGTTAGGGATGCAATTATCCCAGAATGGTTTCATGAATATCCAACCTTCTTCCCCTGACCTGCAAGGCCAGCTCACAGCAGGTTTCCGCACGTGCAGGGCTCCATGTCTGGCGTCTCTGCTTGGTTGGAGGAAGCCCTTTGTCGATCCTGGCACAAACACACCACTTTTCTTACCTACCATGGCTTCATAACAAGTTGTGAATCTGTGGGACAAGTCACTTCATCTTGCTCTTTTCGTCCACATTGTTTTGGCTTTTCTGGCTCTTTATTTTGCCACATATATTTTAGTAAAAGTGTGAAGTTATACACACACACCATCATACCCACTAGAATTTTGCTTAGAATCGTGTTACTTAAGTTATTTGGGGGAGAATTTACATCCTTTAAAATGGAATCTTTCTATCCATGAATGTGATGTAATTTAATTCACCATTTATGAGATTTCATTTGCCTTCGAAATATGCCCAGGATCTAATACGTCTCACTCCCTCCACCGTTACCAGCCTGGTCGACGACACCTTTCCCTCTCTCCTGGTTAAGTGTCGCTAAACGGCCTTTGTTCTGCCTGCACATGCCTCTCCCTCGGCCTGTTCTCCAAAACAGAGCCAGGGTAATTTGTTGTTGTTGTTTGAAGACATAAATCACGCCTGGCACTTGCACCGCCTAAAATCACCTTGTGGCACCGGGGGTGCCAAGCTCCCACACTTTGGGAAACACTGGCTTACACGACAAGAGGAGCGATGGATGCGACCCCACGCAGGCCCTCGGAATGCAGAACGGTTCAGAGGCGGTCCCGTGCGGGAGACCACACTGGGAACAGCGGCGTCGGCCTGCGCAGGGCGCGCGCCCGCGTGAGGACGGACTCGGGAGTTCGCGGCGCAGCCGAGGCGCCGGGCGAGGAGCGGCAGCGCTGCTCGCGGGGTCGGGCTCGCGGGGCCGCGCCCGGCTCGGGGTGGGGTCCCAGCCAGGCCCCGCGGCTCGGGCCGGGCGCGCGCCCGCCGGCCGCGCGAGGACGCGCTCTGAGGGCGCGCTCCAGGGCGGCGGCGGCGGCGCGTGGGGCCGCCGTGGCGGGAGAAGCGCTTCCGGTGGCGGCGGAGGCGGCGCGAGTGGGACCTGCAAGAGGCGCGGGCGGCGGCCCGGGGGAAGCGGTGAGTCGCGGGTGGGGGGCCCGGCCGGGGCGGCTGGGAAGCGCGCGGGGAGCCGGCGGGGGCGCGCAGGCTCGGGCGGGGCGCACGCACGCGGCCCGGCTGCCGGGGGACCCCGGGCCCCGCGGTCAGAAACCCCCTCGCTGGCCTCGGGCCAGGGTCCCTGCGCCGTGAGGACCCCTGCCATGCCGCGCCCGGGCAGCTCCCTCTTCCAGCATTCCGAGGCCCCGGCGCTCCGCAGACCCCCGTGGGGGGTGCGTCTCGCCCCCAGGGGGAGGGGGCTCCTCCTCCACGCCCCGGCGCGCCGTGCCGTGCTGTCCCCGGCGGCAGCGTGACGAAACTCACCCGGGAGACACCCAAGATGGCTGCCGCGGGGACAGGGAACCGCGCGGACGGGCGCGAGCAATTGCCCGGTGACCAGGTGGCTCCGACCGCGACCCCGCAGCCCTCAGGCTCCTAGCTCTGGGCTTCGCCTGGTGCAGAGCAGGGATGGGGTTCAGAAAAGAGACCGCCTGGTCTCTGCCCTAGAACTCGCATTCAGTAGGGAAGAGATGTACCAGTAAGTACAGTAGGTTCTTGGAACATTAGTGGTTCCCCGCAGACCTTGTATTTGCAAGCTTTTCTCCTAATCTTCCCCACGTGTCACAGGTCCCTAACCTTCCCAGAATGACGGTAATCACAATACCTACTACATGTGTGCCAGGTAATTCAGGTCCGTTTACTTTTACATTCTTCCAGCCCTCCGAGGTACCCGGTGTTGTCTCCATAACCCAGATGGGAAAACGGGCTCAGAGAGGTTGAACAACCTGCCCAAGGTTACACAGCTGGCTATCCGCAGTGCAAGGCTATCTGAGTCTCAGTCTGAAAGACTGCCTCCTCAAAGATGCTTTCCCCTGGCCATGCTGTCTAAAATAGCACACAGCTTTCCTTACACAACTCCTGTGCTTTTTTTCTTTAATAGCATTTGTCACTAATTGGAAGTGTTTGTTTTATTCTCTCCATGTGAACGGGGTCTATGTTTGTGGTGCTCAACCTATCTGTCCCCTGCACCTAGCAATTGCCTGTACCAAATAGGCCCTCAACGAATATTTGTTGAGTGCTTGAAGAAAAATTCTAGCTCTGCTTGATTTCAGGACTTGGGTGCTTAACTACTGCATGGACAGCTCTTCTCTGAACTCCCATGGAGTTTTCTTTATGCTTTTCTCACAGTCCTAATCCCTCTTCTGCCTCAACTTCTAGCCTTTAACCTGGGTGCCTCTGGATTTTCACTTCTTTGTTCATCTCCCGTTGACTGAGCCGCTTCCACGTTCCAGGCATTGTAACAGGTGCCAGAGGTTACGCAGTCAATAAGGGGCCTTTGCAGCTCTCACAGTCCTGGCCTCAGACTTGACATGTAAGATGAGAAGGAACTGTTTGGGAGGATGAATAGAGTGTCTACCAAGAAGTTATGGGACCTCGAGCAGGTCCTTTCTCCTCTCAGGACTGCGGGGGTGTCACTTGCAAAAATGATGGTGTTTGGACAGGTGGATCCATCAGTTCCCATCTCAGCTCTAATATAAATTTCCCTAAGTATGTATTCATGGGTTAGATCAAGTGTGCAGGCTTTAGCCCACATGGATGTTCCGGAAAGGGTCTGTATCTGTGGTGGCAGTTGTCAGAGAGGAACTTGTATAGCAAGGGGTGGTTATAATTCAGGATCAGTCAGATGTTTAGAATGTTCTTAATTTTCTATGAAACTTTCATGAAATTCCATGCGGATGGGTGTGGAAAGGCCCCAACTGGCAGGAAACATCCTTTTCCCCTTCCTCATTTCCTGCAAAGAAAGCTGAGAGGACAGGCAGTGGCCGTCAGAGCAGACCTACCATCCAACTGCATTGCTCCCCAGTGCCTTGGAATGGAGGCAGGCATCCGCACGCTCCTTTGCAGCAGTGGTGAGATGCATTTAGTTGGAATAGAATCATGAGTGGGACCAACTTTTTCTTCTGGTTAAAGATGGGAAATCAGTAGCAGTGAGTCCGTTTTTAAAAAAAGGAAAAAAAAGGCTGACTCTTGCCCAGAAAGTGGAAAATCATCATTAGAATATATATCAAACCGGCACTTAATTACACAAAGTTCCAAGTTACTAAGTTTTTCATTAACCACTGTTAATTTGTAAAATATTTTCAGAGACTTTGGTATATATTATATCATCTGTGAGTTGACTCTTTTAAGTGGGTGGTAAAACATTCAACTGAGTATGTCTAAAATATTATAGTTTTGTAGTATTTTATCATTTTCGCAGGCTGATACCACCATTTCAAGTGAAAATCAATAGAATTTTTTTAGCAAATGGGTAAGAACTTCACCCATCCCAAGATATTGCTTAAGAAACCCGCACCCAAAGTTTTTCTTAAGGACTGGAATATGAGCAATGATTGTATTGTCACACGGGTGTTTTAAAGTTAGTAGAATGGTGGGATCTGCATGGGAGGGGAGGAAATAGTGACAGCAAGAAAGGCAGAAGGCAGCAATTCTCCATGTCTTCCGGATTCTAGACAGGCCCCATGTCTCTATATAGAACTATCCCTGGAGTAGTGAAGAGTATGCAACGCAAATTTACTGCTGAGTGAAAATTCCCTTGAATGAATCTAATTCTTTGCATGGGTTTCACCTTTATAACCTATAATATGATCTTCTGTGTGGCCGCACCAATAAGGAAGGAATGCTGTGTGCAAATGACCAGCCGAAGCCAAACATAAATTAGTAAATTTGCTTTTTAGGCTCCTTGAGTTAGTGTGATCATCCTTTGCGGACACATCTCCTCTGGCCTCCAGAGACTCAGAATTGTACAAAGTCAGACAGAACTGTCACTTCCAGGCCATGTCATCTTGGGCATGCTACTTAATTTCTCTTAGTAACTCTACAAAATATGGAAAATAGAGGATTTAGCAATCTAACAATGCATGGAAAGTGCAGTGTCTGGGACATAGTGGGCACTCAGTTGTATCCCCTAGACAGTGGACAGTGGTGGCTAACAGGCTGTTTCACGCCTGCCTGGCCCCACACAAACTAGGGAATCAGACTTTTTCATAACTCTTTCAAAATACAGTAGTTTTAACCAACAACAAGTCTTCAGTTTAATAACTTAGTTATCATTGTTAATCTTTAGCCAGGGTAAAAGGTCTCTGTTACTAATTTCCTGGTAAAGCACATTCCCTGCTAAGTTGCTTTCTGTGAAATTTTTAGAAAATTCATTTTTCCCAAGTAAAGCATTTTCTTGGCATGTAGCTTAAAGTTTGAAATAAATAAAGTTTATCATGGAGAAAAATTCTTTTCTTAGACATCTGTGATCATCTTCAGGATGATCCAAGCTCCATTCTCCTCCCACCAGCAACTGCATTTATGGGCAAGACTACAGCCAATGCAGACAGAAACTTCCACTCCTGAAGAACTGGCTTGTTGGTAATGATCTGTACCTTCGGGGATCGTTTTGGATCCTTGTTTGGCACTTTACATTTAATGAAGATTAATAAAGGCCTCTTATACACTTGTGTTTGCTATTCCTACCAACTCTGTAAGCCAACACTTATCTCTGTTTTATAGATGAGACAATTGAGGCTCAGAGATGTAAAGTGACTCACCCAGTGACGTGTCTAGAAAGGAAGTCATGGAATCAGGACTCAAATCTGGATGGTATTTGCTTAAGCCCAGTTCGTGTTCCACAGGGTGTCAGGGTAGGTGCTCAGGAGAATGGGCCACGGGGTAGGGATCCTCCATGCACAGGCCCCAGCCACAGCAGGCACAGCAACCAGTGTGGACAGCCATGGAGGCATCCAAATATTGATACTGCCCCAACAAGAGCATAGGAATCTTATTTTTACTAGTTTTTGTTTTTTTTATTTTTTTGTCTTTTTTATTGTTTTTTGTTTTTGTTTTATTTTTTATTTAGTTTTTATTTTTACATTTGTTCCAATATATCTTTTCCAAACTTAACTGATGATAGAACATCTCTGATGTACTTTCGAAAAATTTGATTCCTAGGCTCTTAAAAATCTGATTCACCTCAGCACTGCGGAATCAGATTCTCTAAGAAGATGCTTTCCCGGTCACAAGCACCTCTTGGGGGAACAGAGGTCCTGCAGCCAGGTGACTTAAGTTCCTGTTCTGGCACTGCCGTGTGCTTGAGGAAGTTAGCTAATTGCCCTTATAACCACCCTCCTGTGTCCCATAGTTGTGATTTTGATAAGGGTGACATGAAATGATATAAGGAAAGCTCTCAGAATAAGGGATTATTAAATGCCAGTGGCTATTATTAGGCAATATTCTAATTTTGTTGATAAAGATACGGAAACTTGAAGCAGTCAGATAATGTGTACAAGGTCACAGAGTAGTTGGGGGAACTGGGACTTGAACTCTGATACGTTGCCTCCACAAGCACGAACTCATATCTACTACACAGTAGTAGCTCCCCTACACAGCCTTCTCTCCCCTCCATCCCGGGATTCCACGTTATAGGACAGCTGGATGAGGTTGGGGAAGTGTGGTTTAGAGCCAGGAATTCGAGCTAAGCTAACCAGCAGGTTCAGTGAATTTATGTGGAAAGTCTACTGATCACCATTGCCTAATAGGAGCAGACTGCTCACCAGTCATTAAGGATTATATGTGGTGGGGGTGCTCCTGCACCTAGGAGGCAGGAGGCGGTCCTTGCTGTTGCACTCCCGTGTGCTGACTATGATTGCGGGCAGAGCAAGGTATCTAACCTAGAAGGAAGGCAGTAATGCCCTCACAGAATTGTTCGTGAAATTGTGATGTAATTTAATTAATGCCTTGAAAAAATGATGGAGTTAGCTAACATTTCCAGTAGGCCTATAGTATACAATATATTAATGTATTATGAAGATAGTATCTTTGTCATGCCACTCATTTTGGCTTTAATATTGCCTGAGTTGTTATAGATTTCAAAGCAGATTTACTCCATTGAAATAATGGGTATTTTTGAAAGATACGTGAAGATCTGAACACCA